GTCTGCCGAAACAAACAGACAAATAATTTTTTGCAACAAAAACACTAAAAATACTGTAAACATAATAATTGGTTTATTAAACCATTTTCTTTTGATATGATTGTAACCCATATTATCGGCACTCAAACCGATACGATATAAATGAAATGCCGACCATTTATAGGCAATGTTTGTCGGCAAACATTTTGATAAATCAAAATCACTCATTATTTTCTCATTTAATTATTAGAAAATAAAATATTAACGTTTCAAATAAAAAAATAAAATCTTATTCATAATGTAATTTCACAAAAATAAATAATTTATAAATTTTATATTTTCTTCTATCTGAACCCAACAAACTTGAAAATATTAATAATTAAGTTTATAACTTAATATTATAGTTAACTATATTGATTTATAAATATCTGTAAAATTAGATATAATGATATAATGATAGCATTATTGTATATACAATATAATTATTATAATTATTCTGTAAATATTCATTAAATTTGGTTATATTACAAAATCAATAAAAATAAATTATGTTTATTTATAAATTATAGATTATGCAATTGTAAATGAACTGAAAATAAATAAATAAAATAATATTTTTAAAGATCTATTTATCTATTGAAACATCAATTTATATATTTTAATTGTAGTTAGTGTTGGCAAAAAAAGAGAAATTTATACAAAGTTTCTAAAAGAAATTTCTATCTATGGGATCCCCATGGTTAATTTTGTTATCTAGATATTTGCTATCATATAACAATATATTACCGTAAATATTATTTAATAGTATTTTAATTATTAATTAAAATAAAAAATTAATTAATTAAACTAAAGTATGATATATATAATAAAATGATGAATACAATTTTACAAAAGTAATTATTATTAAATAATTATAATTATTTTATATATAGGTATCCCATTTGTATAGTACTGTACTATACTTTGTAGTATAATATTATATGTATAGTATTATATCTTATTAATATAGTATTACAATAACTATAGATATGGGGGTCCCATAGTATAATAATAAAGTTAAATTTCTATAGAAATTTATTCCTGGGGAACTTTCTTGAAACTTTCTCACGRAAATTTATTAGAAACTTTCTATTTGCCCATCTCTAATGTTCATTAACTTTATATATAATATATAAATTAATTGCTTTAGTATATATAATGTAAATATACTAGATATATAATAAATAATAGATAAAAGTATAAATGGATTAATATATTATAAAGTTATAAACACAATAAATTATAATCTGTAATTATTGTTAAATGTTTTTTTAAACTAATGATAATTAAACTTCTATTATAACAGTAGTATAAAAATAGTATTAAAAATAATAAGTTTATTCATCAAAATATATTAAATTATATGTTTTTAGAGTTTTAAATTATATAAAATATTAACTTTAAGATAATAACAATAAAGTCTTTAACTGTATTTCCAATTTGTTATACAATTTAAATTTTTGTTTAAAAAATAATAAAGTAAACTCTATAATTAAATATTAATTATATTTTGGGTTTTTTTATTTAAATACTATATTAGTATTCAATGAAGATTTTTGTTACATTAAATTCAAATATTGACAAATAATGTTGAATATAAATAACTTTTTTAATTAAATATTTTTTAAAAATTGTCAATTCTAAATTATTTGGAATATAGAATTATTATTTTTTTAAATTAATATAAATTTGTTTAATATTACAAATTAAATAATTTTTATTATATTCTTTATGTATTTAAGTAAAAAAAATAATTAATTTTTAATATTATTATAATTGTATTGTAAGAAAATACAGTATTTACTATAAATATAAATTCTATTAATAACAATTTTCTAGTTTTTAAAAAAATATTGAGTTATTATTACTGTTACTATTTAATAAATTTTATTTATTTTATATTTTGTTAAATAATAAAATGTCTAATATATACTGTTTTCAAAGCATATTGAATACAAACAGTTCAAAAAGTGATTTAGTTATTGGTATCTATCCTAATGAAGTACTGTATTATTTTAATAATTAAATAAATTCAAATAATTTAATTGATTAAAATTTATTAAAATTATAATTTTATTAATCATAGGTTATAAATATTACCAATAATATAGTACGGTTTTGCCAAAAGAATTCCTATTTGTATTCAACCCTGGTCAACTATTATAAACTAAAGTATTATTAAATATTAATTAATTTATAATAATAATAGATTTTGATTTACAAAAAAACTAGTATAACTATTAGTATTGCAAATGGAAATTTTGGTAAACATCGTTTAAGGAACGGTAGTTTGATTGGTATGATTGCATTGTTTCAGCAAAAGGTTTTACAATTAATTATTATTACTTATTATTAATGAATTTTCCAATTTATAAGTAATGTCAATATAAAAAAAACTAATAAGCTAATATTAATTTCATATTATTTTTATATTATTTTTAAATAATAATTGTAGTTAGCCGATTTCACCATGGCACAATTTAATTATAACGAGGACAGGGCTTTGATAGTTGATTATAATATACTTATTAAGTCTAGTTATATATTGGCAATGCTATACAGTCCTGGATATGATAACAATAAAAGTTTTCAGCAAATAATTTATGGCTTTGATTATTATATTTGGATATTAATGTGTTTGACTTTTGTTGTCATTATTTTATTTATTTGGCTTCAAAATATTATAATGAAAAACAAAAAATTTTCATATAATGATTTAGTCTATTTATATTTTCCAATTATATTAAGCAAATGTAAGAATTTTATATAAAAATAAAATATCAAATATAATAATTATATTATACTATTTAATAGATACTACTGTTAAAGATAATGGTCCAAAATTAATGATTGCATTTATAGTTTTCATGTCGTTTATTATGATTCAATACATCAATGATAGCACATATTCAGCTATTGTGTCTCAAAATCGTTATAAAATTGATAGTATTAGACAATTAATTGATGAAAATACTTACAAAATTTTAATTATGGAAAATTCATTTGATCTTCATTATTTAAAAAAAATAATAAAACTTAGTTACTATAAATTTATAGTAATAATAATAATAAAATATAATTTTATATTTAATATTTTCTAGACTTATCCCGAAATACCAGACAACAGATATGAATTCATAAATCATAACAAGTTTTTTGCATTAAGTACTATCAAAATGTTATTAAATCACAATAAAGTACTGATTCATAGTTTAGAAACTATTGAAGACTTAGACAACAATTATCGACAATATTCACTGTCCATTACACCAATGGATGATAATTCATATTATACAGGATTTATTGTACGCAAAGATATTAAAATTGACGTAAAAAAAGTTTTACAAAATGCGTATGGTTAATTATTTTATTAATTTATTAATTTTAAAAAATTTTTTTATATAAATTTTTATTCAGGTTAAAATTATTTCATTACTATGGATTTCGTAATTATCATTACAAATATTTGATTAAATTTTTAAAACTTTTGGATAGTCTTACTAATAATAAATTGAATAACAAAAATCCTATTTCAGATAATAATAATAATATTAATATTAATGATAACACTATTGTTATACAATTAAATATTAATCATTTTAAATTGTCTTTTCAAATATTATTTTATGGATATTTAATATCTTCTTTATTCATATTAATAGAAAAAATCCTTAACAAATTAATTTTCTAATTTATAATTTATAGTTAACTTATTTTTTAGCGATATATACTGTATTTAGCAATTAAATATATTAATCTAATTATCAGATAATTGTATTTAATAATTGAAAAAAAATATATATTTTACTTATTTTCAAAAATTAAATATTTAATGAAATTCCAAATAATAATTTGTCATAGATTTTTTTTAATTACATTTCTAGTTACTAATTCAAAAATTATAAATTATACAGAATATATTTATATACAATGTAATAATAATTTAAAATAAAAAATTATTTAATATTTTTTAGACTTATACCAAAATACCAGATAACAGATAAAAATTAATAAATCATAATATTTTTTGCAATAAGTACTATCAAAATGTTAGTAAATCATATTAAAATTGTAATGAAAATATTTATTTAAATATTGAATTAAAATATAACTATTTATATTTTATTAATAGTAATATTTTTAAATTAATATGTATTTCGTAATTATCATTTCAAATCAAATGTAATTTAATGAAAAACTTATTTCAGATTTTAATGATAATAATGATACTAATCATAACACAATTGTAATACAATTAACTATTAATCATTTTAAATTGGTTTTTCTAATATTATATTATGGATATTATTATCTTTTATATTCATACTTATAGAAAAAATTAGTTACAAATTATTTTTCTTATTTATTATTAAAGCATTTACAATATTTAATAATTAAATTATAAAATTTTAGCTATTAAATATATTAATCTAATAATTAGATATATATATATAAACAACAATTTAATCAACATAAGAATTTTATATTTTTAATTTTATTTCTATTCAATTAATAATAAATTTAAAATTTTTATTTAAAATTTAGTATTTATTTATATTTAAAAAATATAATAAAAATAGTTCACATCGTAAATTAAATGTTATATTTTATGAATGTACTTTAATTAAACATTTAAATGATAATAAATTTAAAAAAATAAAATAATACTTTGAATTGCTTAAATAAATATACTTAGCTAAAAAAAATTATTTAATAAATTAAAATTATATTTTGATTACTTAATAATATACTGTATTATATGTATAGCAATTACGATACACTAGACATATAGTGTAATTTATTTACTGTACAGTAATTATTATCTAACCATTATTGTAAGTAAAGTATTTATATAATTAAATAACAATTAATTAGCTGTATATCTATCTATATAAATATATATTTAATATACATATATGTATATATATACTGTAATTACAATAATTATTATTTGTGTATTAAATACAATTTATAAAATCCTATAATAAAAAACGAGTCGAGATTTATATCACAATTGTTTTTTACACTCCTTTTCATTGGAATCGACGGGTAGTTTAAACGGTTCGGACTTTGGTTCGCACACATAGTGCGGACACTGCTGTATGTGTTGTGTGACCGCATGACACGAGTCCTGTTGCCAACACGTTATCGGTGTAAATGCAGAACTAAAGTACCATTTCTTAGTAAATTAAACAATAAATTAGCTATTATTTTGTGTCATTCAAAACTAAATTAATATATAATTAAATATTATTTATTTTAAATGTATTCGTAATTATAACTGACATTTGCTATCATTACTGATATATTATATTAACTATTATTTCGTAACTATTTATAAATATATTTATTATTCAAACTATTGAAATCAAGTGCAAAATAAAAAACAAAACTAAAAATTTCATCTTAAAATAAAAAATAGACTATAATGAGGTGTGGTGTCTATAAATAGTTATTTTTATATATTAGGAATTTTCAGTAATAATATAAATAAGTTTAGTATATAATAAATACAATACATAAAAACATATGAATACTATATGATGATAATGATAGCTTTTTGTTGAGCACCCACTAGTAAATGGGTAAATATATACATTTTATGCCTATTAAATATACTGTATAGACATCCAACCCATACCTTATAGCCGACATCCCACGAGTACTTTCCGTTCTCATTGAGTGAACGCTGCCATTGAAGCGATACGAGTCCTCTTGTGTCCAAAAAAGTGCGACAAACGTCACGAAAGCGTTTGCTTGTAAGCGACAAATTGTTTAACGAAAAGCTATCCAAATGTCGACATATTGTCTGAAGAATCTGTGGTTTTGAGTTAACAATAAAAATATTAAAAAACTAAATTAAAGTCTTAAAAAAAATAATTGCTAAATGTTATCATTAAAATCAAGAAAAATAAACTAATATTGAGAATACAAAATAAACTCTTTTTTTTACTTAACACACTAATGAATGTCAAAAAAAAATATTTTTTCGATAAAAATATGAAACACAAAACAAGAAAAGTTTTTAAAAATTTAGGTCAAATAAATATATTAATTTACTTTTAAAATAAATAAACAATAATATCAAACTTTCTAAATTTAAATGAATATTTTTAAAAAATATATATACAGTAAATGAAATACGATGTAAAATAATATTTTTAAAAATCATTTTAAATACATAATAATAATTACTGTATAAACATTCGCTATTAAAGAGAAAAATATTTTTATACACTATTTATGACACTATTTGAGAAACAATCAAAAAACAAAAAAGGAATGTTTAATAACTAAAATATTGCTATAAAATAATAATAATAATAATAAACAAGAAATGCAATTAAATAAAAACAATATACCGGTAATTGTAAAACAAAATAATAATATAATTGGGACTATTATACATGAAATAACAAAATTGATAAAAATTAAAAATAGATAATTACGAGAGTAATAAAATATTAATCGTTAGTCACATATATATTGACATTGAATTTAAAAAATAAAATTTATCTATATTTTTCCCTGAAAAAAACTATAGCTATTATAATAATAATTTTTAGGTTAATTCATAATAAATTACTGTTTCAAACCTCAAATGGCAATAATGATAAACTAATTGTCTGACTATCGCAATAGATTTGAGCGTCCGATTCGGGCATTTGAACTCCAAAACTTTCGACTAATTCGTTGAACACTATCACCGATCCCTCAGGTTTAGGTGTCCAACGTTTGTGTACAAAATTGCAGCCGTATTGCCAAAGTGGACACCGGTGTTCAATCCATCCATCAATACCGCCGTGAATATCGTTATGAACGTTGCGATAGTGCCACTCGTACTCATCTCTGCGAAACTCTTGTGCGCACCGAAATGTATACATTAGTTTAGGCTTCTTCTGATAGGCAGCTATTGTTCCCATATTGATATCAAGTGACAGTGAGTTACACTGTGGAAGGGCCGGTGCCTGAGGTATCGTTGACTTAGTGGCAGCGGTGCTGTCCAACAAACTGTCCGATGGTTCAACAACGGCGGAAAAATCCAATTTATTTGCATTACTTTTAATGTTATTACACTTAGTATTGTGATTATGAGACATGCAATGAGTGTTCTCAAGTAGTTTAGCGCAAACTGAACTCTGAAGACCCGGTGGACTCTGGTGTTGTGCCCACGGACTTGAGTCGGAATCGTCCTCCGATACGGACAGTGTTGATGTGGTCTGACTGTTGGTCGGCGATAACGATGGCGAATGAGATGATGAATGTTCTCTATTGGTATTGGTTTTGTCAGTTAGATGTAGACCACGATAGGGCTGTTCTCATAAAACAATTAATATATATATATATATATTTCAATTAAAATTATACAAAAACTATGCGTTAATTTACTTTTAAGGGAACGGCAGGATATTTAAGTGTCAGGTAGTTCTTGAAGGCCCGTTGTGTCCGCTTTTCAGCTGTCCATAACTGTCGAAGCATTCGCTGATCGCGTAGGGCCAGTGCGACGTCCAAATGGTTAACATTGAGTGACTGCGGCATAACATTTGACATTTGAGTAGTCAATCGGCGCTCTCGTGTATGAACTGGCCATCGATTCCACTCTACCGTACAGTGTATGACGTTTGCCGAACAGTGTAGCAAATGTGCGGACATGTTCTTGCGGTATACGTGTACCGGACAACCGTTACACCAATTAAGACACTGAACCTGTGATCGGGGGAAGAACAAGACATTCAGTGGCCAATCACCGCTAAAACAATCGGTGACCACAACAACAAACATACCTTTTGGTGTTGACATATAAGAAAATGTTCGGTAAGTTTACATTTATGCATAACCAATGGACAATCCTTGTTATTACAGTTGACCAGTGGACACACTGTTTGGCCACCAGCGGCGGTAATCGTCGTGTCGTTGACACCATTGAATCCGCAACTCTTTAACCGACAACTGGACGGCCGGATACACGTCTCGCAGTGTTTGTGTATTTCATACATTGACGATGTGTTGACCATTTCAATGGATATTATGACATATGATATACACAACAACAACAGGTTTTACCCCCGAAAGTGGTCACAAAATGTTTGACTTTTGCGATAATCAGTAGAAAATCCAACAAAACATTTGAGACAAAACAACAAATATTTTTTGGTTCAATTATTTACAGTATTTTCACGGTTAGTGTCCACACAAGTGATGGACAAACAAACAAACAAAACAAAGTGCTATTATGTGAACATAATATATAGCGATTCGGGTGACCGCAAGTCGGGCCTCAAATGTCGGCCAAAAAAAACAACAGCTGATTGTTGTATGTGTTATACAATACAGTCAAACACAACAACAATAATAACAACACAACAGTTGTCTATCTATTGCTTTACACAACAAACATATACAGAGTCTGTGTGTTTGTGTCACTCAATCAATGAGTTTTTGATGTTTTGTTTTGTTGACTAAACTATTGAATTCATATCCAGTAGTAGTAGTAATACTATAACTATAGTCTGTATTATATTATATATGTATTATTAATGTAAGAGCAATATTGTTATGGGAACCCATTGACGCGTTTTGTGTGTGTAATAGAACCTTAAATACTGTTTTTTTAGGATAAATAAATTAATGAATGATTTTAGTAGTTTTTAAAAAATTCTTATAGTAAAAGTTTTTTAAAAATTAATGTTTTTTTTTTAAAAAAAACATTGTATATTATAATTGACAATTTGTATGACCAGATACTATCTGGTTACTTGTCAGAGAGGGAGAAAGAGAAAAATTTATTTTTTTATATTTATCAATCGACTAAAATCCTAATTGTTTATTTGTTAAAAACATAGATTATAATTTTATTAAAATTTTTAATTTTGATGTCACACATTTTAAAAAATATTAAAATTCTAAGTTTAACTTAAAATTTTACATCACTTAATAGCTGAAATCTACTAGAAAATTGTTAAGTGATATCTAAAAATAAGTTAAACTAACTAAAAGTTTATATGTAATTTAAGATTTTAATTTTTATTAAAATAATAATTGATAAATAATATTATTAAAAAATCTGTGATTATTATTATTGAGTAATCATTTTCCATAAAAAACTGGCCAATGGCTTACTTTCTTTAGTTTTACGTAGACATCCATTTCCTGTATAATTAATTAATAAATTTATAATTATAACTAAATATTTAACAAATAAAAATCATAGATTATAGATTTAAATAAATTCTAAATAGATAAATTTGTTTATAATTATAATATTAATGATAATAATTAATTATCTACAATCTATTAACTATACTTTTTTTACAAAATATACAATAATTAAAAAAAATAATTTTTAAAATTCTAAATTAAGATATTATAAATATATTTTTTTACATATTCAATATAAATATTGTATTTAATATACATATATATATAAATTATATACAGTATAGATAGAAATAAAAAAAACTATTTATTATGTCACTAATATTTTAAAATTTGGTTGGTTTGGGATTATTATTATTATTATTGTCGTTGTTGCTGTTGTTGTTGTTGTTGTTGTTGTTGTTGTTGTGGTATATTGAATATAACAAAACTTGGTGGTGTTGTTGTAGTAGATGTCGGTCCAAATATTACAAAATCAGGTACAGGTGCAATGGTAGTGACCATGGATGTAGCATTTTTGTTGGTACCCTTTAGGCAACTACTAATACCCGATTGAATTTGTTGTAGTTGTGGTCGTTCAACATTTATTGAAGCCTCTATAAAAAAATTAATTAATTATTATTTAGTATAATTTATTAATTATATTTTAATCAAAATTTAAGTTAACTTAAATTTAAATAAAAAATAATTAGAATATCTATAAAAATTAATAAAACATTATTTTAATTTTTTAGACACTAATATTCTCATTTTTTAATTTAAGTATTTAATAATTACCGGTATATATATAATTTCTATCATATATTGTAGTTAAATAATTAAAAATTATTTTAGTTATTTTTTACATTAAATATAAAAAACTAGTCACTTATTTTAAAATTTTTACTACAAATAACTATTTTTATTAGTTATTTTTTTAAATACTAAAGAATTTATAGAAATTATTTTTTTATTTTCCTGAAAAACTTTACTTGACCTCAAAATTTTGAAATATTTTAATACTTTCCTATAACCAAATAATATTAAACTCTACTTTAAATATAATTTAGAGAAAGTTTTTGGTTAATTAAAATTAAGCAAACTTTAATCAATTGAATTTTTATTTGTATTAGTATTTAGTACATTAAATATATATTTTTTAATAATTTTTGTTTTATTTGATAATTCAATTTATAATCTAATAATCTATTTCTAACTAATTTGAAATCATCAGATATGATCACTATTGTTGATATAGTTGTTAAATAAATGATACGTTAGTCCTAACCAGCTATTGCTGTTGCGTGGGCTGATAATTGTTGCTGTTGTTGTTGAGCACCGGCACCATAAGCAGCCTGTTGTTGCTGTTGTTGTTGTTGTCCTAGCCCTCCCACACCAGCAATGCCTGCCTGTTGTTGTTGTTGCTGCTGTCCGCCTACACCAACAGTGCCTACTTGAGCTTGTTGTTGTTGCTGTTGAACACCGGAACCTAAAGCGGCTTGATGCTGTTGCTGTTGTTGTTGTTGATTAGCACCGGCACCTAAAGCAGCTTGTTGTTGTTGTTGCTGCTGTTGTTGAGCACCAACACCTAAAGCAGCTTGTTGTTGTTGTTGTTGTTGTCCTACTACACCCACACCAGCAACGCCTGCCTGTTGTTGTTGTTGCTGTTGTTGTTGAGCACCGGCACCTAAAGCAGTTTGTTGTTGTTGTTGTTGTTGTCCTACTACACCCACACCAGCAACTCCTGCCTGTTGTTGTTGTTGCTGCTGCTGTTGTCCGCCTACACCGGCAATGCCTGCTTGTTGTTGTTGTTGTAATTGTTGACTAGAACTTGCGAGTCCAACCCCACCCAAAGGTCCCAATCCTATGCCGGCATGTGATTGCTGGGATTGTTGTTGTTGTTGCTGTTGTCCGCCCAAACCAGCTATGCTTCCCTGTTGTTGTAATTGTTGACTAGAGCTTCCCAATCCAATTCCACCCAACGGACCTAATCCTAAACCTGCCTGAGATTGCTGTGATTGTTGTTGTTGTTGAGAACTAGCCCCTAAGCCACCGATACCCGCTTGTTGTTGTTGTTGCTGCTGTGAACTGCTACCTAATCCCAGCCCAAAACCACCAACTCCAAGGCCGGCATTTGTTTGCTGTTGTTGTTGTTGCAATTGACCCACACCACCACCACCACCTCCTTGTTGTTGCTGCTGCTGCTGCTGCTGTAGTTGTTGTTGTTGTTGTTGTTGTTGCTGCTGCTGCTGCTGCTGCTGTTGTTGTTGCTGCTGTTGTAGTTGTGCTGCACCTCCAACACCACCACCAATAGTATTACCAAATCCTAATCCAGCTGATGATCCAAAATTAGGCACTTGTTGACTGCTACCTACACCACCACCAAAACCACTTATACCGGTTCCTACACCTCCGGCATAAGATCTATAAATATTTAACAATTGTTGTTGTTGTTGTTGGTGTAGAGCATTGATGGCTGTCTTTATTTGAAAACAAAGATTTGTTATATCATTAATCTCTTGTTGTTGTTGTTGTATTAATTGATTTTGAAGATTGTTATAAATTCCACCATTAAATCCATTAGAAGACGAATAAATAGATGCGCTATTGATTATACCAGAGCTTTCTCTTATCAAAACCGGAAGTACAGTCGAGAACCAGTTATTAAGGCCACCACCACTACCACTACTACCGAATTTATTAGAACCGGTAAGTCCATAATTGACACCATCAAGCAATGTGCCGACTCCTTGTCCTAGACCACCACCTAATAAGCCACTTGAAGAGCCCCCATTCCCACCATTACCACCGGTTAATCCGTAATTAACACCATTTAATAAAGTGCCAACAGAGCCACCAAGTCCGCCTCCCAGTAGGCCAGTACCACTTCCACTTCCACTTCCACTTCCACCTCCTAATAGGCCATTTCCAGAACCATAACCACCACCATTTACCGAGCTTCCTGACTTGCCAGTTAGACCATAATTGACACCATCAAGCAGTGTGCTAACTCCTTGTCCTAAACCTCCACCTAATAAGCCACCTGAAGAGCCCCCATTTCCACCATTACCACCGGTTAATCCGTAATTAACACCGTTTAATAAAGTGCTAACAGAGCCACCAAGTCCGCCTCCCAGTAGGCCAGTACCACTTCCACTTCCACCTCCTAATAGACCGCCAGCGCCACCAGCACCACCTGCAGAGACTCCTGATCTGCCAGTTAGACCATAATTGACGCCATCGAGTAAAGTACTGATACCGTTGCCCAATCCACCGCCAAGAAGACCGTTTGACTGTTGTTGTTGTTGTTGTTGTTGTTGTTGTTGTTGACCTGTTAGACCATAGTTAAGACCATTAACCAATCCTTTTACCCCTTCACCCAAACCTCCCGTACCTAATACTGAACAATTAGTATTAATTGTAGTTAAAACTAATACAACTGCCGATACAATCGTCCACTTCATATTGATTTTCAGTTATTTTTAGCTAATTGATTGATAAATAAAATTAAAATAAAAATAAAAATATAGAATTTGTTAAATGATATAAACATACCAGGATATTTAGAAAACTAACAATTAAATAAACGTTAACACAATTAGAAAAAAATTCCTGTTAAATAATTAATTAAAAAATTTTTAATATTGTTGATGACACATATGGATAGTTAAAATGGAGTAAAAATTAATTTTAAAATATTATAATTATTTTTAACTAAATATCAAATTAAATTGATATTAATAATTAGAGTATCCAATCAAAGTATGTTAACTTTTTTTATTTACATATAAAAAAAATTACAGCAATTAAAAAAGTAATGTATCCATGTATCATGGCACTTTATTATAAAAAATTATAATATTAATTTTATAAAAACCGAGAAAATTTTTTAACAGTTATAAAATGTCTAAAATATATATCTTAAAAATATTTTATTAAAAAACATTTTTATAAAAACTTTGATTAAATACTCTACTAATAAATGAAATAATATACCGGTATATAAATATACAATATAATAATCAAACACAAAACATAATATTAAAAAAAGGAAAATTTTTAATATTTTATAGCAATAATTATTATAAGCAATTTAGATTAAATAATTTAATATTTAGTAAACATAATTAACTAAATATAATATTACTATTTATATTTATGTAATTTAATTAATAAATAGTTAAATTCTTGGCATTTTTAGTATTGATAAATAATAATAAATTTCAAGTCATTAAATTAATATCAACTTTTAACAATAATTTTAGTTTAATTGTAATATTAATTTATAGTAATAAAATAAATTTATGTTAAATTAAATCCAATTTCAGACAATAGTATTGGTTATTGTTGTTGTTGTTGGAAAACTAACATTTCTAAGACTACTGGGCGCCCACTTAACGTGAACCGGTGGGAACTGGAAAGTATCGGGTTGTCCGCTATGTAGGACACCAACAATTCGGGTGTTTGACCACTGAAACGGTGGCTGCTGTTCATATGTAGGGCCACTGTTGGCAATCATCTCAAGTTTGCTAAACAAGTCTTTGTTTGTCATTTTGACATCAATAGCACCGTGAGGTCGGAAACCTAGCGAACTAAAAGGATAGTGACCATTGGGATCATTGAGATCACATCGGGCCGCTATAGCGTATTCACCCGTATAGGGAGGCGTGCAATTGCATCGGGACAGTGGGTCGTGTTTGAAGTCATTATAGCGCATGAGTCGGTAAAGTGAGGACATGTCTGTTACTTGTTTGGCGTTGCGTCGGAATATCAGAGCTCTGGCCGTCTTATTGTACGTAAAAAAGTCGCCGTATTTCGTCACCTGTGATGTGTAGTCACTCAAATCATAGACTCCCTTAAAATACGGAACATTATATGAGGGCCAATAGTTTTGTTGCCGAAGCACATGAGTCACATCTCCAGACTCGACATAACCGGGCAATTGTTCCAAAACCCAGAGCACATCATCGGGTAATTGTGCCGGTAGTGTACCCTTTTTGTACTTATTATAGTCAACAATCATAAACTGGTTGTTATAGGTACCCGAATTGTATTTTCCGAAAATTTGTGACCACTCACGACCCGATCGGGCCAAACGATTGGCTACAGTGTTTCGGATAAATTCAAATACCACTTTGTCGGCCACAACATTGGACCACAAACTGTTATTATAATTTCCGATAGACGTCTCCAGTACTGTCAGACCACTGTTGATGAGATAATAATCATCGATAGAGAAGATGACACCGGGATATGAACTAAAGGCCTGTGATGTACCCGAAATGTTACTATAATTCATATTATATCGTTTGACTAATCTTAACATCCAAGCATAGGTTGTCCACGAATTATGTGACACCAATAGATCACTGCCGTCATCGAGTACTCTGACGATTGCCGAACAGTGGCCATCGTTGAGATCCACAGACTTGACCTTTCGCTGTAGAACCTGTTCGAGTTCACCGCATTCGGTAATTAAGTTCATAAGTATAAGACCCGTGACATTGACATTGAGATGCGGCGAACCGGGAGGTCTGATGCCATACATTGTCGATCGATAGCCATCTTCGAGACCCGTAAGCTGTGTCAGTGTTAGCTCTATTTGATGCCAGTATTCATCGCTATTGGCGTACAGTTTGATCTGTGATTTCATAAACTCAATGTTTTTGGCGATAAATGCAAATAAATTTTGACAAAATTGTTTTTCTTTATCACAATAGTGTCGGATATTGTTATCCCAATGGAGTTGAATTAAATCTGCTGTTAGTAGGCCTTCAATGAGTCCAAAATAATAGGCCTGTCGTGAGTCGTCCAGCGATTGATTTGAGTGAATGTCTAACTGAGCCCAACTATTTCGATAAATAACAATAATGTAAATATAATTAATTATAATATTAATTATTTGATTACCCGGTAGTATTGATACTATTGTCATAGACAGCCCATGTCATCCAATCGTTTATTTCATCAATACTTTTGTTGACATTTTTTAGGTTTCCGTCGGTATCAATATAATGAATAACATTTGCATTAATTATGTTTATGTTAAATATAACAAAAACACATAATACTAATGTAATTTTAAATATGTTCATTGTTTTATTTTTATTTAAAACAAAAAAATTTAATGTCACTACAGTATAACTATTTTTTTGTTACTGTATTAACAAATGACTATTAAAAGTATTCAAAAAGTATCTGTCCTTCAAATTGTCAACAAATACTTATTGATTACTCGTAAAATATTTTAAGTACTTTTACTAAATATAATAATTAATACAAACTTAGTATTAATAAGTTATCAGTTGATTATATATAAAATGTGACCAAAAAAATTTACTAAAATAAAACAATTAATGTTAAGTTAATATGATTTCTAATAATCAATGTAACAATATTTTATGTATTAAACTATTAAATACAATGTAGATACAATTTAGTATATAAATAAATATAATATATATAATTAAAAAAAATATCAAAAAACACTTAATAAAAGATAATTTTTTATTTAATTATAAAGATTAAATAAATATTAAAATTCAATATATCATATATATCATGTGATTAAATTGTTTTAACTATAATATTAATATTTATATAATGTAGTAAAACAAATAATTTTCTTCAATTTAATTTCAAATTGTATTTATTTGCAAATATTTGTATAACATTATTTCACTGATTTGTTTTATTGTAACATTAGTATTGATTTTTGTGTTACAAAGAAAAACTTAAATAATACATAATAAATAACAAAATAAAAATAATATGCAATGTAATCATAATTAATTTAAATTCAGACTTTATTAAATGTCAAATATATATATATACTGTATATAAATTATATAACTAAATGGCAAATTACAAGCTATTTAATTTGTTTGAAATTATCGATGATGGTGTCAATGTATTGTTTAGTATATCGGAAAAAAATAATATTACTGATAATTTTGTTATCGGAATTTTAGATAATACGGTAGTAAAACATCTATTATTATTGTTATTATCTAAATCTTAAAATATTTATAGATAACACAATTAAATAAAACTGCATATCAAGTGTGCCATAAATTTGATTATATTTTACCAATTATTAAGAATAACTACAAAATTAAGTATTAAATATTAATATCTAGTATATAACTATTTTTATTTATTACTGATTAATTTTTGATAATTAATAATTATTTGTTTAACTTAAAAAGTTATAGTATACGTGTTGTAAAATCATTTTTTCGGAAACATCACAAAAAAGATAATACAGGGATCGATATAAAGAGATATTTTGTTCAAAATGTTTGACTTTATTTATTTAAAAAAATAAATTATTTATTATAAAAAAAAGTAATTAAATATGTTTTGAATATTTATCTAGAATATAACCATGTTGCTAACCAATTGGATACTTGACTACAATAGACATAAATTAATTGATTATTCATATGTAGACGTTGGCAAACAATCAGCAATTTTATACTCACCAAACATAAACTTTTCAACCGATACATTCAGAATATTTCATATATTTTCCAAACATTTTTGGACTTATCTTTTAATTTCATATATTTCTTTAGTAATTATTAATTGCTATCAGAAAACCATATCAGTTATGTTTAAATTGTTAATCGATTATTTTGGTTTGCTTATCTTTAAAAGTAAAAATAATTTATTTTTAAAACTTTAAACATTGATATAACTTATAAACATTAAGTATGCTAATAGTATATTTGTTTAAAAATATAAAAATTAGGTATAATTGTAAAGCAATATCATTCAAAACTATTACTAGGAATTTGGTTAACAAGTTGTCTAATAATAATAAATTTGTTTTACACTGATTTGCGATCAATGATTATATTAACTAAAGAGGATGTCATCAATAATTTAGATGATCTTATGATACGTGATGTCAACATTTTGATGCATTCATCGAGTTATGAATACAAACGAATGAAAAATGTAATTTTAATTTAAATTTAAACAATAATTTAATAGTATTTTATAGATTAAACAGCGATTAAATATATAAATTAAATATAAATTTTTGTTTATTTGATTACTTTTTACATTTAACTGCATATTAATTTAAAATTTATTCAAATATCAATTAATTTTAAAACTATTTATTTTTTTCAAGGAATCAAATCGTTTAGTTACAAAAAGCATAAAATTTAAAACGTTTGAAAAACTATCGAGTTTTAAGACAATTGTAGATTTAATTAATAATCAGACGGTAATAGTTGGCGACAAATTAGCACTCAATAATATTTTATTGCTTTACAATGAATTTCCATTAAAACTAACCGAAGGTAACGGTTCTGTATTATTGGATGGCATTCCTCTAATCAAACATTTGAATACAACTCTCAAATCAAAATTACTAATTATGTAAATTTATAGAAAAAAATTATATAATAATAATGTAAACATTAATAATGATTAATAATATTTATATTTGATTTAGATTTGGAAATTTAATGCACTCTGGTTTATATCATCAACATTTCAAACGTAAACTATTTGCTAATCACATAAAAACTATGATAAATATGAGTGCAAAACAAAATCTTATAAAAAGTCAAATAATTATCAATGAAAACAAATATAATATGATAAAAGTTAAGTTAGATAATGTTAGATTTGTATTTGTCATATCAATTGTTGGTTTTAGTATATCATTAATTGGATTTTTTATTGAATTATATTATCAAAAACTTTACGTTTTAACATATTGATTATTTTATATTATTTATTGTAGTATATAAATTATAATATAATGATTAAAATTTATAAATATTTTACAAATATTGTTTATTATGTATAAATTTAATTATTTATTTTGAGTATTAATATTTTAATAAATCAAATAATAACTATAGCAACAATGTTGTTTTGCATTAAATATTATAAATAAAAACATGTTAAAGTAAATAAAACTATTTAGTTAATATCGTATAGAATTTGCTAATATTTAAAAAAATAAATTTAATATTAAACTAACATAGCACATTATAAAATAAAATATAAAAATTTTATTTAAAACACAGTAAACTACATTAAAAATACAATACAATATTTATAAAATTAGTATAAATAGATATATTACTATTAAAAATAAATTAGAAAATATTAATGTAAGTTTTTTTTATAAATTTTATTTGCATATAGTTTTTGAATTGTCACAATAGTTTTACAAAAATATTAGTCTATTTATGTAAATATAATTAAATAAATTAATACATTTATACTGTGATATATACTGTAACATATTTATAAAATATAACTTTTCGGTGACATTTAATTGATTTTACTATTCAATAAATACAGTTTAATTTACTTAAGTATATTTGTTATTAATGTACAGTATATTACAAATATAATATTTATTATTTAATATAAGGATGTATAGTATAATTTTTTAAACTTATTTTTGTAAATTATTTAATAATTTATGCGTTATTTATATTAACTAATTAATATATAATATATATATTTATATAACTAAATGTCTATTATAAATTATGAAAATTTGTGTACATTTATACCTAAAAATAAAGTTTACAATTCTGTACAACAATTAAATAATACAAAACTAATTATTGGTTTAGTTAGTTATTGGGTACGATAGTTTTATAGTAATTAATATTTAATTAAATAAAAATTAATTTTTAAAAAATAATATATTTTATTAATAAATTTTCAATATATAACCTTATATATATATATATATTTAATTTAAAATAAGTTGGAAAAAGTGAATGAGACATTTTATAAAGATTGTCACAATTATAACTATATATTAAAACTTATTGAAAATAATTTGCATTTAAAGTAAGTTATTTATATATATATATATATATATATATAGTTTTGTCAATTAATTATTAATTTTTATTGTTAAAGTTTTAGTATACGTTTATTCAATCCGAAAACTGTTAGTAAAATCAATAAACCGGGTAAATCTTGGACCTCTTCAATGGCTTATTTTTATTCAAATGTAAGCATTATTTTTTTATAAATTATTATTTATAGTTATAGTACAGTATATATTAAATTTAATGTAAAACTATAATTTTTTAATACTATTGTTTATCAATTAATAATTTTATTTTAATAAAGCATATATATATATAACTTATTTTTTAAATACTGTTTTTTATTTAGCTTATATCGACATATGCAATGACTATGATTATTGATAATAATAGATATGAATTATTAGACTTTTCAAATGTAGACACTTGTAGATTGTCATCGATATTATATTCATCTAAAATCAATTTTTCAACCGATTTATTTAGAATATTTCAAATATTTTCGACAAATATTTGGATATATTTACTTTTATCTTATTTAATAATTACATTTATGAATGCTTATGATAAATATTTAAACATAAAATTTAAGTTATATTTTGACTATTTTGGTTTGTTTCTATCTATGGGTAAATATTATATAATTTATATACATTGTTATTAAAATATTATTATTTTAAGTGTCCTATTTGTAATGTTTGTTTTTTATTATTTAAGGTATAAACATACAAAAATATCATTCAAAATTTTTAATAACAGTTTGGTTGATAAGCACAATACTGATAAAAATGTTATTTTTTAATGACTTTTTATCAAAAATTATATTAACTAAAGAGGATTATATCAATAGTTTAGATGTTCTTATGTTTCGTGATATTAAAGTTATAATGACTAAAGAAAATTATGAACACAAACTAATGAAAAATGTAAATATATTTTAATTAAAGTATTTTATAATAATTAGTAATTTTATAATTATTGTTTAATTTATTAATAATTATATTTTAATAAATATTTGTTGTATAAACTATGTTTAATGACTATACTTATCAATGATTATATTATTAGGAATCTTGGGCTTTGATTAGGAAAAATGTTATAACAAAATCATTTCAATTTATTTCAAGTCTTGAATCTATTAATCAAGTGGTCAGTCATCAAACAGTACTTATAAGCAGTAATTTTATGACATATGGTTTGATAAAATTTTATAAGGAGTTCCCATTGAGACAAACTAATGGCAACGGATC